GAGAAATACATTCCATAATGTTATTTCTTTCATACAGAAAGATTCTTCTGGTGATCTATACAAGGAATATTGAAGGAAATATTAATAAAAATAATAAAGAAAGAAAAATTTTTGCTAAAGATTCGCTGTTATAAATTCCATTAAGAACATTTATGATTGGTGGAAAGTCACAGTATTAACATAAATAAGATCATGAAGGAAGTTGATTACAACTCTGATAGATAATGTTGAGGAGTCCGGTGTTTGTAAAGGTGACGTTACTTCAGATGTGTGTGGAGCAGTAAAAGAGCTAGAAGCAATGGACAATCTTGAAAATGTGGATGAGTTGCTGTAATATCTGGACAGAGTTAACTTGACAGAAGATTGAATTTTATGGATAAGCACAGGAGACAGATCATGAGACAAGAAGTTGCTGTGGTTATTGTCTTATGAAAATAAGTTTATGAATATGATGTCAACTTAGTGGATAAAGCACTGTCTGAGTTTCAAAGGTTGGCTCTGGTACTAATAGAAGGTCCACAGCCAGCAAACTGCGATTAAGCAGTAAGCTCTGCTACAGCAGCAAACTTCAGTCTTGTCAAATTTTAAGGTCTTGCTAAAGCTACTCATACCTTCAACAGCTACTACACTGATCAGTCAGCAATGTTAGAATGTAAAGATTCAGGAGAACATCAACTTGTTTTGCTTATGTTTGTAATAAAGGTCTTGCTATTCATCTCTGGCTAGCCAGCTGCTCACTATGTCATCCAAATTGGAAGAAGGCTACCAACCTACCGTATCACTTTCCAAACTTCTGGGATTTAGATTTGCAATGCAATAACAAGTTCTACATTTTTTTAAAAAAAATATATAGTGCACATTTGTTGTTTTGTGGACATAATACAATTGAACATTTTCAAAATTATACAATAATGTAAATATAAATACTATACATTATTGGAAGCAATAATATTTATATGTTTTGTGGTAGTCACATTATTTCAGTGGTCTGGAACTGCACCTGGGAATTTTTTCTATGAAATCCTGTAATTATTTTTTTTAATAAAAGGGTAATTTATTCAAATATAGTGTTGAATGTAATATTGTCTTCTTAATGATATTGTGAAAATATCTGTTGTATGCTCACAAATAAGATAAAAATTAAAATCTTCCTATACTGTATTTGAAGTAAAATTAAACATTATAACGAAAAAAAAGAATATATTTCAACAAACCACAGAAAGTTAATACCTCTGTGTCTATAGAAGTCATAGCATTACTTGACGGCAGCTAAATAAACAGTAGATTGAATTATCAACTAACTAATACAATTAGATCATTAAAAAAAAACTGATACAAGAATTCCAGTGCCTGGACCAGTTCTTTTTGTCAACCTACTTCTCAAAACAGATTTATAATTCAGTAATTCACTCTCTGGCTTGGCATTCATATGTGATGAACCACAGATAAAGTTAATTTTACAACCACAATTGCTGGCTGCTTCAATCTATCATATAGTCCCCATTACATATGCTGTTTTGAAACATTACAACCTGTACTGCTACAATTGATATTTTAAAGATAGTATATTAAAGCTGTTCATTGCTAATTTATTCTATCAAAACCATATAATTACTCAAATGGAAAAACTCAATTTGTCTTAAATCATTCATCAATAACTTAAATTAGTTACCAATTTTCCTACTTTTGAAAGGAATAATTATTTTCATATGAAGAAATACTGTGGAAACCCTCTCTTGAAATACAGTATTGATGTTATCTATAACAACTATCTTCTCTGATGCTAGGCTTAGTAAAGAAGTAAGACATGACCATAGGCCTGTCTCTACTCAGATTCCACTTCCCAGCTTCAGTTTGAACCCCAATGGCACCTCATCTCTCCTAAGTTACAACATCTGCCCTTAACAATATCGAGATTATCTCCATTTCTTAATCCGTTCTAAAGACACCAAGGGAGCAGCTCCTGGCAAGATTATTATGATGATTTCTACCTGTCTTTCTTCCCAGTCTAACTTCCTTTCTTCCAGTCTGCCTCCTCTCACCCCTTCTGTTTTCTAATGCCCTCTAGCAGAATCTTTGAAACTTCCCCAGTCTCCTGCTCCTCTTGTTCCTTCTCTATAGTTGCTATAACTAAACATTGCTTGATCATCATGACATACACAGGGTGAGAACATTTAGACTTGTGTAGTTCCCAGTATAATCTATTTGCTATATGGATTTCTTTTCCTTGATTTTATCAACTCTTTTATTCTGTAACCAATGACTGCAATGTAGGAGGGAGTCAAAACGGTGTGGGATGCAGTCTGGATAAACGGAAACTCATCACTATTACTTCCTAATTAAACTGAGAGTTTAACAGAGCCTAGTTATCTGTTGATACTTATGACCACGAATGTGTTCCATGAGTTTCAATACGTTTATACAGTTAAAGTTACTTAGAATTAAATAAACCTCTGTTAACACATACATGGAAATTTACTGTGGTTGGGGTGTGACAGAGGTTTTGATCCTGATAATTGGGAAGTTGAGGGAAAAACATCCCAAATCCAAGGACTGTCTGAACAACAGAGTAAGAAAAAGTCTATCCTAAGCAACTTAGTGAGACCTTGTCACAAAATATAAAGAGAAAGAAAGGGCAAGGATTCCAATCAGTGATATAACCCTTACTCTGGATGTCAGAAAACCTAGGTCTGTATTACAAAGGCAATAAACAAATGCATAAATAATAAATAAATATCTAATACTTTACCAAATAATGCTAATGAATATGCTGGTGAAGCTTTAAAATTTCACTTTAGCACTAATTCAATATATAACTTCAGCATACAGTACATGCACAAGCTATCTCAGCATGGACCTGTAGTTATATGCTACTAATTCATGCTAATCACATTATGGGTTTCTGTTTTACTGGCCATATTATTTTTAATTAAATAAGAGTTAGAATAGAAATGTACACTATGTATATGTAACAATTAGTGCTTCAAGCTGGTCCTTCCGGAAAGTGGAAACTGATTCAAGAAAAATAACAAGATGTTAAAAATCAGAGAAGCATAATTAGCAACTCAGGCATTAAGGATAATGATCTACTCATTCTCTTGTATAATCTTATAACTTTTGTGTATTTTTGTGTTTTACATCTAAAGAAAAAGGAACACTTGGGAACAAATGAATCAAACAAACCTCCTTTTACACAGACCATTACAATGTATACACAGACTCAGTCAAGTATGATTGTGTGTGTGTCTGTGTCTGTGTGTGTGTGTGTGTGTGTGTGTGTGTGTGAAAGAGAGTTCTTATAATTTTTTTGGAAGTTTATGATTGAATATTTGAATTAACAAGATTTAAAAAAATACTACATTATTTCAGTTTTTTCTTTGAGAATTTTTTGTATTTATTGAAAATAAAATCTTTTATCATATGTCCCTGACCACAGTTTTTCCTCTCTCTACTTCTTCCAACTCTTTCGTCCCTCTCCTTTCACTCATATCTATTCCCTCTTCAGAAAAGACAATCCTCCAAGAAACAAACAGGGCAAAACAAGATACAGATAAGACCAATCTCTCTTAATGAAGGCTGCCCTTGGCAACAAAATAGGAGAAAAAGTCTCAAGAACAGGCAAAAGAGCCAGAGAAGCACTGGCTCCCAATGTGAGGACTTCCACAAAAACATCAAGCTAAAAGCCATGACTTACACATTCACAATGTAACATGATCATATCCATCTCTCTCTCTCCAACTTTTTCCACATCACCTCAACACATAGCCTTACTTCACTTTAGTTTTCATTCTAATGAGAACTATCACATCTCTCCAAAGTATACTGATGTCTTCTTATATGAATCAGATTAACAATGACATTGAAGTATGAATATTTAATTTGGGAGGTATGAAATTACTTCCTAAATAAATCTGAGCATGTGTTACTAATAAATGCTCCATTATCATTGCAAGGTGGACGAAAGGTAGTAGTGTGCAATAGTTACTTGCACACTGAGGTCAGTATCTATGTCACTGATGGAGCACAGAAGACACAGGGAAGTGAGAACAAAGTTTTAAACTTGCCTTCTTCATCATACTGAATGAACTTCACCTGAATTGCTAGTTTTCCTTTTAGAAAGCTTTATACTGTCTATATGTGACATATTTGTGATAACTACAAACAACTAAGAGTGTAGGATGGACACTAGCGTCTACCATTTGAAGAGTAGTTTATTCAAATGCCTCATCGCTTTCTGTGATTCCTGAAAGTATATATAGGACTGCCTGACAAGGAAGACCAACGGAGAGCATAGATACTATAGAAATGTGCGATAGTATCATTCCTGGAAGACACAGGGATGTAGCTATAGCTAATTGAACTCTGGCTTCTTAGGAGATGGTAATGAGATGGCCAGAATCATAGAGATTTACTCAAGACGAAGGAAAAAGGATGAATGATGGAAAGGAACAAAATTCTGTATCATAACATTAATCACGTTTTGTCATAATTACTTGTATGTTTACATTAACCAGAACTCTAAAAGTCCAGGCCCTGTGTCAGTCTTAATCAGTTAGATGCCCCATGCACAATACAGTGCATTTAACAAATTATTGTGCCAAAGTTTGAGCAGATATTTGTTAAGTATTCATCTAAGGATGACACTCAACCTCACAAATACTTTCATTTTTATAAATAGGAATAATACCTGTCTTTTAGACTATTGTCAAAAGAAAATTGAAATAATATGAGAAATGCTTATAAATGAGCTTTTTGCAAAAAATAAAATAAACACATATGAATAAAAGAATAAATGATAAAATGAATGATGCTAAGTGTATTTTTATTTTTCAAAACAATTTAGTACTATACAGGAACTTAAGAATAGCTCTTATTACATCATATAGTATAATAGCAAAAAAAGTAAAAAAAAAAAAAAAGCATACAGAATATGTAATCCTTAGAAAGTATCTGTCCAACGAAAACCATGTTGTACTGTGGAGAATGCAGTAATGAAATACCTGATAAAATTCTAACTTCTGCTTCATTTCCTGTTCTTATGCTGGCTGGATTCCGAGCGGAGCATCGGTAGACTCCACTGTCTCCTGGTTGAAGTCGGCTGATCTGCAATGCTCCCGAGGGCAAGATGACCACACGCGAGTCTCCTGGGATTGGGTTGAGGTCTTGTTGATTTTTCTGCCAGTGTATTGTTGGCATGGGTTCTCCAATGACTTCACACTTAAGTAATACTGTATCTCCCATGAAGGCTGTGATAGATTCTGTCTGCGAAAGGAACCTCAATGGTCCTGAGAGAAAGACAATGAAGAAAGGATTAGTCTTTCAAATAAAGCACAATAGTTATCAGTATCTGCTGTTCTTTGTGAGACAGTGTATTCCAGAAGATATACTCTCAAATTCTGTTTAGTCATTTAACTTTACCACATATTATAAAATGTCAAGTAAGATAAGTAATCTATTTTGATTAGATAGGAAGATAAATATTGGCACTGATTTCTAGAAGCCTCTTTTATGATTACTCTGGAATAACAACAAAATTCATGTAAACAAACAGAGGAGATACCTTTAGTTTAATTTTCACAAATAAGGAAATTGTACTTTGAAAATTAAAATTTGATGTACTGGTTAATAGTGATCTTTTGTGTCAGTGCTGCAAGTATGTCCTTGCTATTTTAAATCTGAATGCTATCCTGTCCCAGTTACCTAACACTGGACCAATGTCTAAGAAGTTATGGTGATTCATGAAGAACTGATTATGTAGTATAAGTTTAAACAGTTTTAAGAATGAAAAGATACATTCACTTCCAATTATATGAACAGACAACAACCATTGGTAGGTGACAGTTTACTGTGAATATTTACCAGTGTTTCCCGTGTGGTAGCAATATGACAAAGAAAGTCCTCAAGTAGAAGGTAGAGTAGCTTGTATTTCTAACTTGTGTGAACCACATATACATAGGAATCATTTCACATTGTGTTTCATTTCCTGGTCTAGTTAGTGAAATAGTAGCCAATCCATGTGACCACTCTCATGTTCTCATAAAGTGCTATGTGAAATGCCTGGCTCATAGAGTAGGATAGGAATGAAGGGGATAGGTAACAGACCACTGTGGAGTAAAGCTTGGTGAGTAAATGTCTCCAGTTTGATGATTTATTAGAGAAGAGCAGGAGATGCTATGGTCTTGACTTCCTAAGCTTTCTACAAACAAGAATATATCAGTTATCCTAGACCATTGTCCAAGAGAATCTTAGTATTATTTGGTGACCCCAAACACATCCATATCAATTGTGTCATTATTTATAAAGCACTGACATTTTTCCTTAGGCTAATTGAACCTAATAATGTTAATTTTTGGTTATTTGATATAGTTATTACAGATATATTATTATATTTTTATTTCCCCTTAATCTTGATGACACTGTTTTCATTTTAGGTACATGTTACAATCCCATTTTATTAACTCATTAGTCTGGGTTTCATTACATTTCACTAATTATATTTAATGATATTGTAATATCGATAAATGTATCTTAATTAATTCAGAATTTCCTATACCTGGGATTAAATCATGTCATAGAGTTTTTACTTTTTCCCATCAGCATTGTATCCATGACAAATTCTACTATAATCCATTTTCATTACAGCTCCTTTGAACTTCGGTCTATTCCCCTAAACCTATTTTTTTCATAAACTGAGAAAAAATAAGGTGAGAACAGAATGTCAAAGGTAAATCGACTAGGTTAAAGATAATTTATCATGAGAGGCAATAAGAAACATTATAGTGGTGCTTTAGACTTAGGTCAAGGGAGAAATTCATGTCTACTTCAAATACTAGGGGTCAGAATCATGAGACAATGGAATAAATGATATATACATTTTTTTCAGCTCTTAATATGGAAAAGGTGCTAGTTGCTAAAGACTATCATTGTTACATCTCTGCCTGAAGTATTTAAAATGATAGATATGTAATCCTAGGGAGAGGCAATGTTCTTTAAAATAAATGATTAGTGCAAGATCACTTGTCAGTTAAAGTGTATCCCATATACACAGATTATAAAGCTACCTATCTGCTTCCTAAATTTTAATTTCTTGGGTTAGGATCTATGAAGCTACCTAGACTGCTTCCTAAATTTTATTTTCTTGGGTTAGGATCTATGAAGCTACGTAGACCAACATTACAGAGGTATCTCAGGAGGGCACCAGCCACTTGGAAAAGGTTATTTTTCCAATCAATAACTCATCCATAACTATGTTAGACCTGCCCAGAATGGGTGGGAAAACAAAAGGAATCCATTAATTTGTTACTAGTTTCATGGTCCAAATACTTTCTTGGTTCTTTGTACAACTTCATATGAGTTTTAAAGAAAAATATATGATATATAATCTGCTACTAATTAACTTAATTGTGAATTGAAAGGATGAAATCATAGATTAATTGCTGTAGCATAAAGATTCTACATTGAGGAGGTTCATTATTATACTATGGTTTATGTCAGCAAGCAAGTCTCTAACTACTGAATAGCATTCTTTCTTGTCTTCATTGTTAGAATTTATCTCATACTTAAAGAATAAGTTACAAATAATTATATAATAATATATTAAATTTATAAAAATGAATATAGTTCAATAATGTATGCTAAAATTTAATATATTTGGAAAACTGAAAAAATATCTGGATATTTTACATGTGCAGAAACATGGTACTGCATTAGGTGTAGACACTGTACAAATATAAAACCACTGTGTTCCATCTGATTATTAGTGATAATATAATTTTGGTAGATTGTTAAACATTTGCTATTTATATTTTGAGATTTTATAATATGATGTAAATATATTTGATATTTTTTTAATGTTTGCTAGGATATTAAAATAGTACTAGAGACAAGTAATTCAAACTGATATTCAACAATTGTTTTCCTTTCTCAACCTCATTTGGCTGTTATAGTAGCATAATGAAACAATGGCATTGGCTTCTTGTCTACAAACTACTGTACAGTATTGTCCTCTGAACTGACAGGCAGGACGCTACAAGAAATTTTTTTTCTTTTCATTTTTTTTTAATTTATTTTTATTTATTTTTTAAATCAAATCATATAATTTTTACTTATTCACACAGGGGTTATCAATGCAATAAGGCAGGATGTGGGGAAGAAAATGACACTGGAGCGTGGGAGTTCAGGGGGAGTACAGATATCTTTCAGAACAGGGTATCAGCTGGGTGAAGGTTCAGGGGACAGGTCACTATGACTCTGCCTAGGATTCACTTGTCCTTATCTAAGTTGGTATTATCCACCAAAGCTACCTATTTACAAGGTCTATGACTACTCAGGATGGTAAATTTCCACAAAAGCTGCCTGTTTACAATAGCTTATAGCCATCTATTTCAATGTTTTTCCACAGAGACCCAAGACTTGGTGTTAGTATACATGTATGACAGGCCTATTGCTGATTTTAGGCCTTCAGTGTATAAGCAGGGCTGCCCCTGACCTCTCTTCCCTTCTCTAAGTATAGAAGGGCTGTGGCAATTCTAATCCTGCGAAGGCAGGGATAGAGGCCTGACCTCCAGTAATTGAAGGGGACTTTGTAATGACTCCGGTCCCCCTGTCGTTGTCCAGTGAGACATGAGGGCCATACCTATCCTGATGTCTTTCCTGGAGAGGGGACTCAAGATGAGGTTGTTACTAATCCAGGGTGTTCCCAAAACCCATCTCTACCCAACCTAAAAGAAGGGACTTCCTCCCCTAGACCAAGCAGAGAGGGGCCACCCAGAACCCCCTCTGACTAGTGATCTGAAATCTTGGTTAGACTGTGAGGCTAAGCACTGCAAGGGAATATAAATAAAAGTTAAAATATATCTCTGGGTTCCCTGAGGTACAAGCCTGGCTATGAGAAATTTAAAAGACTTAGGGTCTGATATGAGTGACTCAGCTCAAAGATTTATTTAGTCACCCATGCTGTCATAAGCACCCTCAACAAACTCACTGGTCCAACACTACCATCAATTATTTGATCAGCACTGGTGTTGGGGGAATTATAATTCATCACATCTCCCTAGGCAAGATCAAACAACACATATTTATTTCATATAGACTACCACATTGATGTCTTATTTTAAGTAAGAGAAACAGCAAAGACCATGTTGGTTTCAATGCCTTGTACCATGGGTTCCAGAGTAGAACTACATTCAGTTTTAAAGTTAATGATGGAGCATAGGAAAATTTCAAAAAATAGATTATGAGGATGGAAAATTAAAAAATGATTTTTTGTCTTTTACATTTGCTGCTACAAAGAAAACTATGCAACAAACAAGTAACTTTATAGGCATTTTTGTGGCTTGAATTACTGCTTCTAATATGTAGCTAAAGGTCTGCAAGGCATCTTCTGGTTGTGAAAGAAGTTATATGATATCAATTTTGTAGCATATTTTATTTATTAAATTTCCTGAAACTCATAAAAATGAAATACTTGATTTTTCAGAAATCAATAGATACAATAATATAACGTAAATATATTTGTGCTTCCTAGGGTATGAGATTAACTTTGATCTTTGTGAAGATTAGTTTCCTGATAAGAGTCTGTTCATACTGAAGAGATTACTTGTAATACATTGTTTCCTACTTCTTTTCCTTGGTCATTCATGTCTATCACAGATATCAGAATATGTTTCTAAATCAGGAAGTTTATGCTACAGTTGTTGAACAAGACTGTGCTTAAGACTTTTGGTATTATCATATTTTCAAATGTTGTAAAGAGTTTTGTTCTGTTTGTTTGTTTGTTTGTTTGTTTTTATTACATACCCAGGATTCTAGTATAATCTCACATCATTTTCTAAAAGTATTGTAAAAACAATTTTCAACTCCATTGAACTTGTCTAAGGTCCTAAACTTAGTCTTCCCTTGTTTGGTTTTCTTTCTGGTTTTTGTTTTGTTTGTTTTTTTGTTTGTTTGTTTTTGTTTTTTAATTTTTGTTTTGAAACAGGATTTCCCTGTGCATCCCTGGCTTTCCTGGAGCTTGTTCTGTAGACCAGGGTGGCCCCAACCTCAGAGATCTTCCTGTCTCTGCCTCCCAAGTACTGGGATTAAAGTAGAATGCCACCCCCTCTGAGTGGCTTCTTGTCTTGATGTCACTTCTTTAGCAGTTTCTCTAGAAAGAGATAAAAAATTCCCCTAACTCTACCTGTAGACACTCTAAAAGCATCATCTATAACAGCTTACACTTTTCCAAGTCATTCTGAGAATCATCTATCTGCCTTAAATTTTTTATATCATTCATAATTTACAGACA